TAAACAATAGGCATTTATTTCTCACAGTTCTGGAGGCTGGGAAAGTCCAAGGTACCAGCAGAATTGGTTTTTGATGAGAGCTCTCTTCCTGGCTTGCAGGTAACTGCCTTTTTGCTATTTCCTCATAAGATGAAAAGGGAATTCTGGTGTTTTTCTCTTTATAAGGACACTTGTCTCATTTTTTTTTTTTTTTTGGTGGGGGGAGGTCCTACCATCATGACCTTATGTAAACCTAATTACCTCCTACGGGCCCCACATCCAGTACCACCACCTCCTGGGGTAGGGTTTCAACATCTAAATTATGTGGGCAAAGGACACAAAAATTCAGTCCATTACAACTAGATACAGGTTTTTCTAGATAAATGATTTAAATTCATTGCTGGAAGTCTGTTAGTTCTGGGCAAAGGGCTCTATTGTCAGTTGTGGTGTGTTTCATCAGAATGAAGTGTACCATGGTGAGCTCTGGCTGAGAGAGAGCAATAGGCAAATGCTCCCTTCCCCATGGAACCTGGAGGATTGCTTCTTTTGTCATTTGGAGAAACTGGCTTGCATAAAAAACCCTAGGATGCCATGAAAAGCATCTTTAACAAAAAATGGGATGCCCTCATTCTAGAAAACAAACATTGTAAATTCCAAGGTAGCTCAGAACCCAAGAGAAATAATCAATGCCTTTAGGAAGAAAACCAAGAGTTGTTTGAATCCGTAACAAAAGATTTCCACTGGATAACGTCAGTAGCAAAAGAACTTCTTAGTGTTGATATCTTGGCTGCATCTGCTTTCCCAGGGCTGATAGAGAAAGACAAGAGTCTACGACACAGAGAAAGCAGCTATGGAGAAAACTGAGTAGTCTTTGGCGTACTTAAATCAGGAAATGCCCGATCTCTCCTATTCACAGCTTCAAGAAACGATTCTCACTCTGATCTTACAATATCCTTATTTTTTTTTTTTTTTTAAGTATATCCCACGCCCAGCATAGAGCCCAATGCAGGGCTTGAAACCATGACCCGGAGACTGAGACCTGAGCTGAGACCTAGAGTCGGAAGCTTAACTGGCTGCGCCATCCAAGTCCCCCTGAGATTATAGTATTTGAGGAATTCTCCAGGATGTCTTCAGAAATCCTTTCTCTTCAAATCTCTCTCTACTAACACTCCATTCTCCAAAAATTAAGATAAATAAACTCACTGGTTAATCTAAAAACAAGCATGACTTACATACAAATTTCATATAGTATCTTCAGTAGCAATAGAAGATAAAAAATCATATAAAGCAAATAGTGCTAAATAAAAAATAGCAAAACTTGTTCTTAAGATGGACAGACCTTTGAGATACAATGTAGAGCAAAAACAAACTGAGAAACAGAGCACATATCACACACTTTTTGAGACAAACATACATAAAAATGATATTTTCTATAATATATAAAAATATTTTGGGGAAAATGGTCTGAAATGAATATTTCCAACTGAGCCAAGTAATTACCTCAGGAAGAGGATTAAACAACCACCACAAAACAAAAAAATCCAAGCATGGGCTTTACCAACAGAGCTTCCCAAGAACAAGCCCCATTTGGCCCTCAGAGAGGGAACACACCGTCTTCATGGATTTAACCAAATGTGTGGGGAAAAAGAAAATAAATATATTTAAATAAAGGGAGAAGGAGAAAGTAATCACTTTATCCCTTGCTATCCTCTCCCGTTCAAATGATGCCTTGGCCTCCACTTCCTCGAGCAAAGACAGGCCCAAACTACAGTAATTTGAAGTAAATGCAATTTGGTACTTGGCCAGGGTTTCCCAATCATTTGCAGGACCCAGGGCTACAGTACAAATGAATGTCCACATGTAATAGTCTAAATATTTAGAAGTTATATATCAAGTTAGCTCACTGTTAACTGAAATACATTCCATTTTTCTGACTTGACAGATATTCCTATAAAATGGTGTGGAAGATGAGGTCAAGTTAGACTTCTCAGTCTACCACCAGTGTGAGGCAGCATTAGGGCCTGGCTTGGGGTCCACAGGCCGTCCTCTTGGCGTTTCACTGCTTGCTTTGTCTGCACTGTGAAGGGCCTGTTTTGTCTGCACTGCGCTTGTGGACCTATTCAGCTTCCATATGGACCACCTAAACTCCATCCATATTCCTTTAAGGAGCTAAACTTGGTCTCTCCTTACCCTAGCCTGTGTATGCTGGTGGTATGTTCCACCCATAGAAAGTTGGACCTGGGAAAAAGGCCTATGCAGGCCCTAGAAGTGGTCTCAGGACCATTTGGTCAGAGAATCTGGGGTCTCTCCTCCCCTAAATTTGTTCTACAAGTTGGAGTGGGAGGTCAGTGTCCAGAAGGGCAAACCCCTTGGGCCTCATTGGCTCCTCATCCTGTGGGAGGTACAAATGGAGGTAAGGGCCCTCTGAAACAAGGTCCAGGGCTAGCTCTGGCCTAAGGTCAGTATTTTTCTTTGCTTGGGGGACTCCTGGGCTCAGGTCCTGATGAGTTAAGGGATTTCAGGGGTTATTTTCATTATATTATATAGAACCTAAATCAGTGAATTAGCCTCATTTCCCCCACTTTGTACAAAATATGGATGGTTAAAAATATGAACAGCATAGCCAGCATGAGGACTTTCTTCTCTATGAGAGGTGCCCAGGACTGGAACAGCGACTGATTAATGAAACCAGATGTGCCACTTTCATCTGATCATGTCATTTCACTGGAATAGCAGGCAGAATGATTGACACCATGTAAATTATTCTCTCTCCTTCTTTTGCAGACCAAGTAAGGTTGAGTTTACCTAAGTTGAAGTGCAAATGATGTGATTCTACTACACCAACCATAGGATCTTGTTTCCTGTTTGTATTAGCTATTTATTGCTGCATAACAAATTACCCCCAAATTTAGCAGCTTAAAACAACAAACATTTATTCTGTCATAGTTTGTGTGGGTCAGGAATCTGGAAGTGGCTTAGACCACCAGGGCTGCAGGCATGAAAAGACTCACCTGGGGTGAAGGATCCACTTTCAAGCTTACTCACATGGTGGTTTTCAGGCTTTGGTGTCTCACAGGCTGTTGGATCAGGAGTTTCAGTTCTTTGGGTCTCTGTTGCTTATCAGATCACGTGGGCCTCCTGAAGGCAAAGAAGGAGAATTTCAGGAAGGGGAGAATGGCCAAGTGAATCAATGGCATAAGAAAAAGTGTACTCCAGATCTAGCAGCTGCAAGGTTAATTGCTGACCTTAGCAAGAGTGGGCAGTGGGTCAGGAACAATGTTAGAATTGGTTGAGAAGGGCAGCCCGGGTGGCTCAGCGGTTTAGCGCTGCCTTCAGCCCAGGGCGTGATCCTGGAGACCTGGGATCGAGTCCCACATCAGGCTTCCTGCATGGAGCCTGCTTCTCCCTCTGCCTATGTCTCTGCCTCTCTCTCTGGGTGTCTCTCATGAATAAATAAATTAAATCTTAAAAAAAAAAAAAAAGAATTGGTTGAGAACTGAATGGGAAGGAGGAAAAGGGTCACTGGGCCAGTAGATCCCAAACCAGAGTTGGCCAGCAGGTGCTGGGTTGGGCCACCTAGGGAGCTTATAAAAAATATGCCAATTCCTTATAGTTAATTATAACGTATTATATATTTGAAAGTTGCTAAGAGCATAGATCTTAAAAGATCTTACCACAAGAAAAAAAATCTGTAACTACGTGTGGTGATGGATGTTAACTAGACTTACTGTGGTGATCATTTCACAATATATACTAATATTGAATCGTGTTGTATACCCGAAACGGATACAAAATTATATGTCAATTATATCTCAATTAAAAAAATACCAGTTCCTAGACATCCCTCCCTTTTTTGGGTGTGTGTGTGTGGGCAAGGAAGCTGAGGTTGAGAAAAGTTAAAAAAAACTTGCTCAAATTCCCATAGCTAGAAGACAGAGCTGGGGTTAGAGCTCAGGCTCATCTGGAAGCCCAAGTTTACGCAGGTAGGCAACACACTAGCTTGGCTCCCATGTGAAGCCCATGTGAACATGAACCAGCTCTCCACTGACAGCTGGTGGCCCTGTGTGAGTTCCAGTTATATGATCTATTAGAATCCCAGTTAGCTTGTACGAAAAGAGGGTGTAATATTTACCTTGTGTTGTTATTGCAATGATTAAAGATAATTTATTTTTAATGCCTTCTTGCCAAAGACCACTTGGAATACACCTATAGTTATACAAGCTGGATTTATCACTCATTGCAGTGAGGGAAATGTACACCATAGGAAACCATGGAGATGTCTCAGTGACAGGGTGTTAGAAAATATTATTAAAGGATTTGGGCTCTTGTTAACTGACATGGGGGTCAGCTTAAGAAAGCAGGGGTGGTTCTATGAATGTGTATCTTCATAAATCTTAGCCACAGAGAGGGCAGACTAGAGTGAGGCTAAGGCCATGACTGGCCAAGAAGCAGCAGTCCCTCTTATCAGCCAGGAGAGCTGTATGCTTGGTATTCTGTGGCTCGGACAATGTTCACATTTTGTCTGTGTTCAGACATGATTACGAGTGGTCCTGTTCTTGCCTTGATCCATCGTGGTCACAGAGAGGACTTGTCTGATGTTGGTGTTCTGTGAAATTATGTTCAACAGGAGAACACCAAGGCCCAGGAACAGTGCCAGAGTAGCTCCTTCTTAGAATGTAAAGTACCTACTAACAGTGTTGGACTCTCCAGTGTTCCACCCAGAGGGGTTATGACTTTTATTGTACTCACCCACACTGCCCATTCAGGACTTTTGAGTCACAGTAAGGCAGGCAGGTAGGCTGAGACTCTTGGAGGAATGAATCTAAAGGACAGGTGTCTCTTCAAGCTGCAATGAACCACTTTCTTCCCTAGCTTCAGGCATTACATGAGGCCATTGCCATGAGGTCAGGGGTATTTCAGTCTGCGGAGAATTTCAGAAACAACAAAGAGAAGGCTGCCAGTCAGAGGACCCATCCTGGACTCTGCCTCCTTCCTGCAGTGGCCCTGTAGTGAGCGCTACCATGAGGCCGACCTGGGCTAGATACTGTGACACCCACCACTTCATGCTGAAAAATGGGGTAAAAGACAACAGTGCGGGATGAGGCCCACAACAGTCTAGGCAGTAGTTCCCACACTTTCCTGAGCATTAATTAGAATCACCTGGGAACTTAAAAATATTGATGCCTGGGTCCCATTTCCCCGATCGAACTGGTGTGAGATGCTACTTGGCGGCATCACTATTTAAAAAACTTCCTGGGTGACTTAATGCGTTGCAAAGTTTGGGACCCCCTGGTTTCATCCATCCATCTTTATGGTTTTGGCGGCGGGGGGCGGAGTCACGCAGCTGTTAATGCAATGAAAGCTGTGGTACCTCATTCCAGGCGCTTGTATTTTAGCTACAAAACCTGACAGAGTTTCAGGGGGCTTACAGATCCCTAAGAAGCAAATCTGGGAACCCCGCGGTGGTGGTGGTGGGGAAAATCCCCAGATCCTGGGGTTGCCGCCCCCATCAGGATGACTTGAGCTCTCTGACCCCTCCTGAAAGAATGACGTTGGCCCCTCTTCACAGAAGCCTCGGCTTAGTGTCCTCGAGCCGAGCTCCCGCAAGGCCAGGCCGCCAGCAGGCAGCCAAGGCCGGGCCGGCGTGCGCACGTGTGCGGCTGTGCACCCTGCTGTGCGCGCGCGGGGCCGCTGGCGAGCGTGCGTTTCCGTTACCGGAGCCCCGGGAGCCGGAGGCCGCGGCTGCAGCGGCGGAGGCGCGCCCGGCCCCCCTCCCCGCCAGTCCCCTCCCCCGGTGCTCCCGCTCGCCCTCCCCCCTCCGCCCTCCCCCCGCCGCGTCGGCCGCTCCGAGGGCGCAGGGCAGCGCTCCGCACGCGAGCCCCTGCCGCGGCCGCCCCGGCGCGCACTGAGCGCAGAGCCCGGGGCGCGCGTGGCGCCCCCTCCCAGCTGCAGAGCACGATGAGCCGCGGCCCGGGGGTCGTGGAGAGCAGGTGAGCGCATCCGCGGGGCGGGGGGCGGCGGGCGGCCGGGCCCAACGTCGGCGCGTCGCGGAGAGGCTTTGCCCCCTCCCGGACCTGCCCCTGCGGGCGGCCCTGGGCTGGGGGCCCCGGCCCGGCACCCCCGCTCCGGCCGCGCAAACAAAGCCCGCCGCGGCGGCGCCGGCTCCGCGCGGGCACAGAGCGTGGGGACCCGGTGCGCCCCCCGCGCTCGGCTCCGCGCCTCCGCCCCAGGCCGGGGGGCTCGCGGACCCCACCCGGGCAGCGCCGGCGGCGCCGGGGTCGCGCGCAGGTGCCCGCGCGGGAGGCGGCGGCGCGCAGCCCCCGAGGCCCCGCGCTCCCGGCCCAGAGGCGGGGCCTGCCGGCCGCGCTGCGCCCGGGGCGGCCGCCTTGCCCTCGGCGCCTGCTGCTGGGCGCCGCGGCCGCGGCAGGTGGGCCCCGCTGGCTCCCGCCCTCCCCCCCGGTGGGGGCGGCTGCGGCGGCCGGCGGGTCGCGCCGAGGCCCCCCCTTGCTCCCCGCGGGGGGCCCCGCTCCCTTCCCGCCTCCGCCGGACTCTCCGCCCCCGAGGCTCGGTTTCTGCTGTCCTCGTCTGCCCCCGGCTCCCGGGCTTCAGCTCTCGGGAGCCCCCGCGCCCTCTGCACCGGGGCGAGGACTTGGGGGGGCCCTGCGCCCTCTGCATCGGGACGAGGACTTGGGCGGGGGACCCTGCGCGCTTTGCACCGGGGCGAGGACTTGGGGGGGAGCCCTGCGCCCTCTGCACCAGGACGAGGATTTGGGGGGGCCCTGCGCGCTCTGCACCGGGACGAGGACTTGGGGGGGGGAGCCCCTGCGCGCTCTGCACCTGGAGGAGGACTTGGGGGGGGGTCCTGCGCGCTCTGCACCGGGACGATGACTTGGGAGGGGGCCCTACGCGCTCTGCACCGGGACGAGGACTTGGGGGGAGGGGTCGCTCCAGGCGGGTGCCTGGGGTTTTGCCGAACACTGTTGGCGCTTTGGCTCCCCGGCTTTTAAGCTGTTTGAATCGAGGGTGGGATTGGTTCCCTTAACGCCCCCCCCCCCCGCCGCCCCTGCGTGGAGGCCCCCTCGCCGGCAGCCCTCCCCGTCCTGTCCCCCCCCCCCCCCCCCGGGTGGTGCTAACACCACGTCTCATGCACCGAGGGCTCCAATCAACGTTGCTTGAAGGATTTTCTGCTGTTTCTGTAGAGGTAGCCAGTGCCTCCGTTGGTCACCAGACCTTTAACTGCAGCTGCCTTTTACCTGGGGATGTTTGTGAAGAGCTAGTTTGGGGATCCTCTGGCGGGATCGCGGGCGTTGACTGCAAAAGGAGTTGCCGTCATCTGCAAAAGGAGGCTTTGGGCCTCGGATGTGGTGTTTCAGCAAGTCGTGTGATGGGCGGTTTGCAAAATACATCCTTTAAGCAATCCTCTCACTGCCCTTAGGTCAGTGCCTGTAGGGAGCCACCGAAAGCAGTGCAGAAACGCTCAGCAAAGATTCAGACTGCAGAGAATTTTCTTCTAGGATGGTTAGTGCTGCAAAACCGAGGAACAGCTCGAGCAAGGAGAGACGTGGTGCCACGGCTTAAAATGTCCACCACTTCAGCTTTTCGTGCATCATTAAACATCAGGCCCGGTTTCTCAGAGAGGAGGGACGTTTGTTTTTCCACCACTGTCCTTTCTTTAAAACACTGTTGCAATCAGGAAGGCAGCCTGGAAAAGTCTGTGTGTAGTTGGCTTTACTATTTGATTTCTTGACCAAGATCATGAAGAAAACCACAGTAGGACACATTGAACATCACACCCTCTTCTTAGAGGGGTATTCATCCAACAGCGGGTCTTGGGGATGGTTGTTAAAGAGAGTTTTGAATTAAATTATGGCTTTACTTTTGTGAAGTTTCCCCTCCGAAGAAAACCCTAAAGAGAGGAAGTGAATTCAAATACGATACATTAACACAGTCCTTTCCACAAACAGAGCTGACTGGACTTTTCTGCCCGCCACCCCGAACTACCCACCCTTGCTGGTTGGTATTACTGGAAGATGTGGACCCTCCCCACCTCTTTCCACGAAAACTTGTTAGTCCACCATCTCTGATCTTTCTGGCCTCTTCAGGGAGACTGTTGCTAATGTGTCATTTTCATGTTTCAGCCTGGCAACAAAGTCCTGTGAAATTCAGTATCAGACCAAGGTGAGGTGCAGTTCTCTGTAAACTGTAAAGCACCCCACAGATGTTGGCTACTGTTGCTTGTAATTTTTAGTAGCCGCACAGCATTCCATTCTCACGTATTTGGCGATTTAAGCTGTTGTAGGTTTTTTTAAATACCGAGGAGGAGAGTCTTTATGGCTACCATATTCTTTCTGTCGTTTATAGGTTCAATGAACATTTTTTTTTTTTCCCCAGTGCAGATTATAGGCCAAGCCACGTGTTGGATGCTGGGGATGTGGAATCCTTGGCTATACACATGCCCTCTCACGCTCTTACTCGTTTTTTTTGTTTTGTTTTGTTTTTTTCAGTTCTCAGACTTGTAAACAGATTACAGCAGAGTAGGGCAATAAATCCATTAATCCAGGTGTATATCAGATGTTGGCTCAGGGAGAGGTGTAGAGAAATTCCTTCTACAGGGCTGAGTCATGGGGATTCCCCTGCCCCACACATCTCCAGCTCCGGTAAACTTTTTTCTTGTTCGCTCTGGGCACTTTCTTTCTCTTTTCTTTCCCTCCTTCCCTCCTTGTCTTCTTGCTGCTGGAGATGTTACAGCCCTTTCCTCTCCTGGCCCCACTTCCCTTGGGAGTACATTGTGCAGTGCTCTCCCTGACAGGTACAGGGAGGGGGAAGGGAATAAACCCTGAAACTGTTCTCCCCAATTCCTGCCACCCTACAGCTGCCTTTTAGGCCACATCCCCCATGCAGTTAGCCTCTTCCCCTGGCTCCCCCACTGGCCAGGCTCATTTTCCATTCACAACTGTGGCCCAGAAAGCCAAATCCTAGATACTTTCCTTTTCCTTTCCTAAGATGCTGAAAACCCTTTGTGTGTGTGTGTGTGTGTGTGTGTGTGTGTGTGTACATACACAATCATACAGAAAACACAAGCATCCTGAGTGGCACCTCACAAGTGAACACATCTATGTAGCTACCTTCTGGGTCAAGACATAAAAAATGGTGCCCTAGAAGCCCCTCTCATACTCTGATTACTCACAGTCCTATTTCTTCTCCTCAGAGGAGTGAGATTAATTTTGCTTGTTTGTAAACTTTATAAAAATAGAATCTTACAGCATATAATCTTCACATCTGGCTTGTTTTGTGCAACATTACATCCGTGAGATTGAGCCACATTGCTGTGTGTAAGCAGTTTTTCCTTGTCATTGTTGACACTAGTCCGTTATATGATTATATCACATTTTGTTCATCCATTTCTACTGTTGATGAGTGTGGTAGTTGTTCCTAGTTTCTGCCATACAAGTAATATGCAATGAATCTTTTAGCCTTTTGCTACCCAAAGACCTACCAGTTCCACCACTGTCTTTTTTTACTGGAGTGACTTAAAAGGGAAAGTGGTGGGTGGAGCAGCCAGCCTGCTGAGCCAGCCCTGTGGATTTTCCATCTTTGCCATCGCTAATACTTTTGGAGGAACTGAAGACTGCTCTCATTCAGGGACCTGACCGGTGAAGAAGAGACACCATAGGATGGCTTCTTTTGTGAGTGAGCTGATTGGAAGTAGAGATCTTTGGGAAGAAAGAAGAAAAGAAACTAGGTCATGATGGGAAACTGGCTTCGTTCAGGAGGTATCCTGATCAGGGGATGGACAGCTGGTGGCTCAGGGTCTCCACATCTCTTCTGCCCACCTCCCACCTGCCCCCACTTTCCCTTTGTTGAGTCTCTGATCTACCCTAGGGCTAGTCCTGGAGGGCTTGGCTCAGAGGAAGTCTTTCCATCCCGGCTTGTATGGAGGAGACCTTGCCTTCCAGAGCTCAGTTCTGAATGAAGACAGTTTCCTTGGACTGTTCTTTAAAGTTATGTAGCCCCGGAGCTTTTTGGACTACAACTTCCTGGGCAGGGGGCCTGGCTCTTGTGGCCTGGGGGATGGAGGTTTTCTTTGGCAAAATGCTTAGGCCTCTGGACTCAACAGAAGCTGTGTCTTAATCTGCAAATTGTCAGAGGGTCACACAGGTTCAGGCAGTCCCCATGTAAGAAGCTGAGGACAGCAGATTCTGGAACCCTGCACTATTGACTTCCTCCTCTGCTTTCAAGTTTTAAATCTTCCCAAGATGGAAATACAGAGACTACCTAGCCAACTGAAGAATTTCCACTTAGCATCCTGGTGGTTGTCACCACTTTGGTTACAGAATTAGGATTCCTCTACCTCCTTGACCTTCCTCATCTCTTGCTTCTCTCCCCCTGACCACACTTTTGTTCTTCCTGTCCGTGGACCTTGATCCACTCCTCTCTATCTCAGACGGGAGCTGCTCTCAGTACTCCCAGTCTTCTGTATTGTCCATTTCTTCTTGTGCTTTGTGGCTCAACTTAAATGTCACTTCCTGGGGTTCCTGGTGGCTCAGTTGGTCAAGCCTCTATCTTTGGCTCAAGACATGATCCTAGAGTCCTGGGATCGAGCCTGCTTCTCCCTCTCCCTTTGCCCTTACCCCACTTGTGCATGTGCCCTCTCTCTCAAATAAATAAATAAATAAAGTCTTAAAAAAATATCACTTCTCCAGGGAGCCCACCCCAATTCCTCAATCTTAGAGGAACTCTCTTGTCATTCTCTAAAAGCACTTCCTGTTTCAGATATAGGAAGTCAGGCTTCCCCATCAGGCTGATGGCACAGGCCGGTTGCTTTGTTCACTCGTGTCTGGCACACACACTCCACACATGTTAGTTGATGAGTGAATTGATGAGGAAACTAGGAGACCTGAGACAAGTTGTGAGATTGTCTCTCCTTATAACTTGCTGTGTGATCTTGGATATGTAATTCACTTACCCTCTCCTAGATTCCCATCTCCCT